CAAATAAAGCACTATTCTATAAGAAAGGGTAACTGTACTAAGGCTTTTAGTAACTCCATGACACTAAGTATTCAAACAGCACATGCTATGGAGACAACTATAAGTAATAAAGAATGGTTTATACATTATGCAGGTAGAAAATGCACAGTGGAAAATGGGAAGACTCTAAAGGAGGCTGGAGGTATCAAAAAGGCATTCTGTTTTAAATATTTTTGTTTAAAGCTAACCGATTCCATAAGTCTCTTCTTGAGCAAACAAGGTTAAATCATTGGTTTGCAACGATTGACATAAAAATCTCATTTAAATCCTCATTATAAATGGTTAGTTTTCTTCAATATTTCTTAAGTGTCTACATAGTGGAATTTATAAATAAGAAATTTCCTATCTCAGAGACAGAGATCTAAAATGTATACCAAAAAGAGTTATCTCTCAAATGCAGTTTCTATTAAGATTTTAAAGTGAGGGATATCCACTTATTTGTATCTTTGAAAATACTCATTTTTTTCCCTAGTAAAAAGTAGTAACAACTATATTTTTATTTTAGGTTTTAAAAATATTTAAGTGATATCATGTGATGTTACTTAATGGCATAGGAACATAGGAGATTCTGTGAGAAAATATTTTCTATGAGACATTTAGAATGAATTTGTCAGCCCAACCTTTATTTCTCTACTTCCAAAAGAGCAGACCACCAAAGTAGTTTAGAAGAGTCTGAGTAGAGAATTAAAAAAAAAAAAAAGGAAAGGAAAGAAAAAAAACCTGATAACCAATCACACCTCTAAAATTGAAAAGCAACAACTGTAGAGAAATGAAGGAAGGGTACGTCGACAAGGAGGTCTTTCTAAGGAGAAAAGGGAAACAGCTAAGTACTAAGAGGTCACAGGGTACATTAAACACATAAAAAAACCCCACTCATTAAATTTAAAGATCTGGTCCTGCAAGAGCAGTTTTTGTTCCTAAAAGGCATACCAGTTGTACTTTTTTTTAATTCACAAAGATTTACAATATTACTTTGTTTTCTGGAGGTTTTTTCCTGTTCTTTAATTTGACTCTATAATGAGTGTTACCAAATGGCATCTAAACAAATGTAAAAATTAAGATGTGTCAGTTAAATGTAACCAAAAAGCTGAGAATTGTGTGCTTATTTAATTTCTTCAGGTTCTTTTGCAAAAAATGTTCCACTGTCTGTTTTAACTTTTAAATAAAACACATTTATCATACTTCTCACCAGCATTATTTTTAATTACACTGGTTCTTACTTAATGTCACTATTTACCAAACCCAATTATAATCAGCAGCTGCATATCCCAACCCTCGTCCTCCGGACATACCACACTCCATGCCCACCAACCACATTGGCCATTCCTATGAGAGTTGTGGAATTAAAGACAAAACAAATGCTGTAATTCTCACTGAATTACTTTTATACAAACCAATGTATTAAAATAAAATGAATATTGAGGGAAGCCCAAAATAGGATGAAAATCAGAAATGAGATGAAAAAACATCTAATAATGAAGAGTCTTACACAAAACATGGATTTGATTCAGGCTCCTTCTTTAACTAGTTGTGAGTATTGGGCAAGTCACTTAAGTTTCAAAGTCTCAGTTTCCTCGCCTTTAATATGGGGTTTTGAACTTGATGATCCCTAAGGTCTCTTTTGGCTATAAAATTCTATGATTCTATAAAAATAAAATGAGAAAAAATTCTTTTAAAAGGTAAAATGAAGAGGTGATGGAGACAGATGTGTGCTCGTGTGTATTTAGCATTTGTCCTTTCCATCTCTCTTTTCCACATTCATGACTTCTACAACTCACTACTCAGTATGAGCAGATAGGGGTTCTCCAAGCATGACTCGCTTGCTAAAATCTTGCTCCTTCTTTCAACCAGCTTATGAAACCCTATACAATCTATTCTTGAAGAATATACAAACTGCTGATCACAGAGCTAAACTGCCTAAACCTGCTGCCTGAATTTGAAACCACAAATCTCTCTTCTCATCTCTATATCACAAAAGTACTTGCCCCCCAAATATGATGTAAACTTATTCAAGTCAGGACATTTTAGTCTTAGTGTAGAATCTATGTCAATAAATTTGTCAGAATAACAAAATAATGAGAAAAAATAAAGAAATGGAGAACATAAATTTTTAGAAGTAGATGCATGACATTAAAGTTGTTTTACAACTTTAAGCAAAGTAGTTCAATGAAAAAGCATCATGAGTCAGATGTATATTTCACAGACTTTCAATATTAATTATTTTGATGCATTATCACAGGCCAGTCAAGGGATTAGCCTGTTTCCAAATTTGAATCAAGATGTAGAAAATAAACAGATAGCTGTACATAGCAGTTGGTTAATTAGTGAACTCTACAATCATAAATTTGAATGACTAATTTCAATGTACTATGATCAAAGAAGAGGTCATTCTCTTGGTAATTCAGTATTTTAGTCTACACAAAGCAAAACAAACACACAACACATTCCCTATTAAACTGATCATATATAATAAATTACAATTCATGTTTTAGCTTATATATAAGTTATTACCATAAGATATTTTGTGGGTAAAAGTATTTCAACTGTGTTACTTTCATAAGCATCTGTTTAAAATTTTGCAGCTATCTAAGGGCCCCCAACTACTATAAATGAAGTATGTTAACCTGATAGGGAGCCCCAATTTAAAAGCTAAGTTTACAATCTGAGAATTGACACTATCAGGCTGGTATTAAGCCCCTGGGGGATAAAAGATAAACTTGAATAATACTTTACTAACAGATAAGGATTTACAACATCTTTCAAACTTGGAAGAAGCACAGACAATTTTACAGTGGGTCACAGCCAAAATAGTGTCACAAAAAATCCTGAAGCCTGCAACTTTAATTTCTGATGAACTTACATGGTTCACTGACAAAAGCTGTGCTGGTAATGTGTATCCAGGTAATGCTAGAAAAGGTGATACCTGCCACCTAATAATGCTTAAAAACAGACATACAAGACACATTTCCACTTGTAAGACACACATCTCCCATCCCCATTTGATTTCATACCACCATAAAGCCTGTCACTGACCCACATTCTTTCTACCAAAAGCCTTTCCTTTACCCTTTCCTAACTTCTTAACTCCTTAAAAGCTATCTTTGCTCATGTTTGTTTTTATACAATTTCAACCATATAAAATGGCAATGGGTAAGGAATACACAGTCTCCAGCTGTGATATGCTCTGCTCATTTAGACCCTAAAAACAAGCATTCCTCTCATACACATCATCCCTCAGGCAGTTTCCCAAGCAAAATAATAAGCCTCTCTTCAGATAACTAGTTGGGGAAAAAGAGACCAAAAAAAAAAAAACTTTCCCAAGAGGGATAAGGCTCATACAAGTTTGTTTATTTCTTTATGATCTGGCATTCCTCCTTGTCTGACTGCATTTCTCTTGATTGCATTTCTGCTCCGTTATTCCTACCTATTAACTCCTAAAAGTTATCAGCCAGGGTATCTGTGTAGGCAGCCTCTAACATGGCTTCAAAGATCCTTGCATTCTGGGATTTAAGCCCTTGTGTAATTCTCTCCATATAGATTTTGGGTTGGATTATTGACTCACTTCCAACAAACAATATGGTAATAGTGATGTGTTAGGTTGGTAGTTCTGAGATTAGGTTATAGAAGACTAGAGAATCTTGGGTGCTCTCTCTTAGACTGAAGCCAGCCGCTATACTGTGTGGCAGCCCTGTGGGGAAACCCATGTGGTAGAAAACTAGGCCTGCCAATAACAAGGTGAGTGCACTTGGACGTGGATCCTTCTATCCCTCAGTGGAGTCTCCAGGTGACATCTCAGCCCCCCAGATACAGCTTGACTACAACTGCATGAAAGAATGTTGAGTCAGACATGCTCTGCTAAGCTGTACATGAATTTTTGACTCACAGAAACTTTGATAATATTTGTTATTTTAAGCAGCTAAATTTGGGGGCAATTTGTTTCTCAGCAATGGATAACTAATATCTCATCAGACAAATTGTCAAGTTAACTGGATAAAAATGGGACGTTTCCTACTCAACCTGAAAAGACAGAATAAAATTTATCCTTCATACTGCTCAATTTTGTAAACCACTTTCTTAGATGGGGGAAGGGGGACCCCTTCTATCTTAGAAATAAGGTTACCAAACGCCAAACATTAAAAGAAGAAGAAAAACTGAAATGGAACACATAAATTAGCTCCACCTTGCAATAGGTAAAGGTTATGATATATTGATTTGGATAGAAACACCTAGGATCCTTAAAAATATAAATTGCACTTGTTAAAACAAGTAGAGTCATTGTTAAATTACTAATACATACATTCAGAACCTAAAAATAAAACCAAAAACTTAAATGACTGAGCGGATTAGGAATCATTTGTTATTTCATCCAATTAATAACATTTAATTGAGCACCCACCATGTAAGAAACTAAAGCCCAGTTACAGAGAAACAACGAATTGAGGACAAACCAAGAATCCACCAAATTTAAAACCAAAGTTTGACAACTGAAGCAGCTGGCAATTTATCATGACGTTACTTGTGTTTGCGTTCATATTACTGAAAAGTGTGCAAAGAAACGAAAACTGTACCTATGCACACAAAACCAAAACCAAACCAAACAAAACCCACTTTGCTTGAAAAACCACCCCTGGGTTAGAAGAGAGTAATCATTGCCGTTTCTCCGCTTTATTTCAGAATGAAGCCGGGTCACTACCTGAGGTCCCAAGCTGACCTTATACCCCAATGGCCTAGAAACACAAGGAACACACCTACTCCCGCCTCCTGACACCGACTGCTCATTTTAATAAGCCGTCACCGCTGTCACTCAAGATGCTTTGCACTGTCATTGGTCCCAAAGTCTTGCGGGTTGGCAAGTTTCTGCCAACTAGCTAGCACCGGTTCTCTTTATTTCCGAAAAGAAAAGTCGGAGTGTACGGGGAAAAGAGGCGAGAGCGCTGAAAGAACTAGGCTGACGCCTGTACCTGAGCAACCTGCGATCCCCACCGCCGCCGCGACGAATCGGCCTCTTGGTGGGGGCTCTTAGCCAGAAAGAAAATGGCTCAGCCGGGAACTGGTGCCCAGGCCATGGAGAAGCCGGTTCAAACGTTACTTGTCCACGCCGGCGGAGGTGGCGGCGGCCAGAACCCCAGAAACAGCACTGGATTCCTCCAAACTGGGCGCGCCTCAAGCTGCAGCAGCTAGGGCTGCCCACTGTCCGCGTTTTGACGTTTCCTATTGTTGCCGGAAGTGACGTTCGGGGTCTGAGCCTTAAAGAAAAAGCATTTTTATGTCCGCCGTTTACGATTCGTTACAGAGTCCCTGTTTCCCACTTGGCATCCCGAGCCACTCCGAGCATCAACAGTAGGCCGAGTTCCACCCTGCAGCTTGGGATCGGAGTGGCCGTGGAGAAGGCCCTCCGCAGTGTCGGCGTCCTCGGGGGTGTGGACGGAAGTGGTGTGGAATCTGCAGCAAGGAATCGAGGAGCTCTGGGGAGCCTGCTGCTTTGAAGGTTTGCCGCGCTGCGTGGCGCGCTTCGACCCGCTGTTGCAGATACAAACGGCCGGCGCGAGAAGCGTCCCCGGGCGCAGGCGTGCGGCCGCCGGGGACCCGTTTCTGGAGGCTGGGCCCGGGCGGCTCTCTCCGGTTGCCTAGGCGGCCTCCTCCTCTCGCTTTCGGAGCCCGCTCCTTTGCTCCGCCGCTGCTGGGTGAGCCCCGGGCAGCTAGCGAGGCTGCCCCTTAGGCTGGGCTGGGGCCTCCTCTCTCCGATGCCCTTACCGGGTGGGAGCGAATGACCAGGTCTGTCTTTTCCTCCTTTGAGGTCAAGCGGAGGGAGGAGCGCCCCATTTGTGAGTTGGCTCTATACCCCACTGGCACGTCTCTTTGTAATAACGAAGTAGGCAGGGTCATCGCCTGAGGTTAGGTTGTGGGGTACAGGCGGGAGGTTATAGACTGATCCCTCCTGTTGGATCCTCTGAGCCAAGGAGCGACCCCCTCCTCGGAGATAATGACGAGAAGGGAGAGATGAAAGTAGTGGGTGTTTTCCTCGCTTGCATTTCCCTGGCGTTTCAGTATTTTTCTGCTTCCCTAGAAGACTATTGATTTTTCCCTCGGTATGAAAAAAAAAAAAAAAATCAATCTTGACATTTTGATTTCGAAATTAGGGCTATACTTGACTGTCACTCTAAAATTATCCAGGCCTTTTAACACTTTTACATGTGAACGCAGCAGTCTTCCTGGGCTCAGTCCTTGTCCCTTACTTCCTTTGTTTTCCCCCCAATTTTCTCAATGTTTTCGTTCCCAGACCTTTCTCCTTATCTCTCAGAGCAGTATTTCCCTAATGTCTTTTGCGAAAAGTTTTATAAACTTAAGTTTTCCTCATCTCTACTCTATTTTTGATACACAGTTTTTGGATACTATCTGGCGTTATGAGCAATGTCACAAACTTAAGTCATCGGCCGTAATCGTTACAGTCAGCGCGGTCGCTTCATTCTGAACAAAAAACATTCTGAGCTCAAGGGCATCCGTTGGGAGGCATCACTGAGGCACCTCCACCAGCCATGAGATCTAGCTGGGCTAAAAGCGGAGTTCAGTTGGGCCCACCTGACTTGCAGGGAGAGCTCTCTGGAGGAAGCTAGAGAGCAATATTGAGACCATCTTAATGGTTGAATCTATGCTAACAAGCTATGAGTAATAGCGAATTTCTTCTTTTAATTTCCTTTGATAAGGGTTATACATTGTAAATATTAATCTTTTTTTAAAGTTATGTTATTTTTCATCTCTGAAAGAACTATGAGAAAATGTTAAGTCATAGATTGACTTCTTTTAATATTTTAATTTTGTATAGACTCAGTAAAGCCTTTCATGAAACTGTAGACAGTAACTAATTTTTTTATAATTTTCTATAATATTTTATCCCTTTATTTTTTCTATCCTGTCTCCTTCACCTACAGATCCAAGCTGTACTTGTTACCTTACCCTTCTTCAAAATATTTATTCTGCTGGTACTGAAGATGATGTGTTCCAGAAACATACTTTGTTGTCAGAAATTCCATTACCAGAGGTAGACATAATGAGACATTAATATATGTTCCAGAACTTCAGAGAAAGGAAAGACGGAAAGATACCATAAAGCGTTCAATAAAATGAAATTACATGTACTGGAAAGATGGAATATACGTCTGGAAGGATTAAAGGAAGTCTGTGGGAAGAAATACAATTTATATTAAAGTTATAGAATGTCTTAGGGGAAAAGGTGCCCCTAGAAGAATTATGATAGATGGGTCTTAAAACAAGCTCAGACCTACTATATTTGCTAATGACAATATCTAAGAATATATATTTTTTGCAGTTACAGCCAGATTAGTTCCCACTTCATCTTTCCCTGGGAAGTAAAGGCTGGTCATGGGAAGTCACCTCTCTTACTGCTTCCATAGGTTCCATCTGTCCATACCCAGTCATACAAAATGATGTTAAATAAGGTTTGCCTTTTTAGCCAGTATTTTTTATAATGTGATTTGAGGATTACTTCCGTTTTTTCTAGTTATCTTCCATTTGACAATATCTGAAATTCCTGCTGCCTAAAAATGTAAATGTTTGGTTGAAAAATAGTAACTAAAACACACGCATGAGTGTATAAAAAATATATCCAATAACCTGTTCTTTACCATGTTAATAAAGGAAAGGAGACTTGGATCAGGAAGATACTGTGCTTCTAAAATGGAGAAAGGGCTCAAAATTGGGTGGCTAGGGGTTTAAACTAGAAACCTTACTAAACTTAGGATTTTGCACATTGTTAGCCTTATTCCTCTAGTTATGTACAGATAGAGAGAAGGTGTGTGAGGAGGTGATTTGTATCCTGGGCAACTGCTGGAATGTTGACTCGGGGCTAAAGATCATCTAGCTCTACTCCTGATGTATGAATTGTTCTGTTTTGTTTTTAATGTCAATGACTTCACTTTAAAGGAGCTTCATTCCCAGAGGATTCATTACTCAAGGTATTGTTTTATATTATTTCCCTTCTATAAAGTGTCCATGGACAGTCACAAATAGATATTTTTAAATGTGGTGTGTTATTGAACTTTGCCTTACTGGCTGACTAGACTTATAGTTTAGATAAACTGTATCTCTTTCATCTCTTCCTAGAAGAGGTTCTTAATCATTTTTTAAAAATCTATTTATTTTATGGGAATAACCTTTTTTTGAGAATCTAACAAAAGCACTACCACATGTAATAAAAAGAATCATTTAAAAATATAATTCCATGGTATTATCATCTTTGGGATTTTAATAAAATGAACCATTTTATTTAAAATGTCAAATATTTTTCATGTCTTTTGGTGCACACACATATATAAACACATGTTATTGTCATACATACTTTTTGGAGTAGTATTTCTGTCTCATAGGCCCTATATATATCCACTTTAGTAGATATCGCCAATAAATTTTCCAAAGTAACTACTAATTTACCCTTTCACAGCATTCTGTGGGTTTCAGATTTTCTACAGCCTCACATTTTTTTATTTACTTTGAAATTTCCTAAAAATTGATCAGATTGACTATCATTTCACATGTTTACTCTTCTGTTAAGTTCCTGTTCCGGTCTCTTTCCCCTCTTTCTATTGAGTTGTCTTTCTTTTTCTTATTGCTTTGTAGGAATTTCTTTACAAACTCGTAGATATGAATCTTTTTGTTGGTTTTATATATATGACAGCATCATCTCCCACTCAATGGCTTATCTTTCTGCTCTCTTAAAGGTGTCTTTCGATGAACAGAAGTTACTAATTTTAATGTGTTTCATTTTGTCAGTTATAAGCAATCCTTCTGTACCTGAAGCTCATAAAGATTATTTTCTTCTGTGATCTCCAGAAAATCTGGTCATCTTTTATTTTACATTTAGATCTTCAACAAACCTGAAATTAATTTTGTGACGGATGTGAGGTACCCTTTACATCAGGGGTTCAAGTTTTATTTATTCCATCTGAATATTCAGTTGACAAAGTATCATTTATGGAAAAAGACCATCCTTTCTCCGGGTCTACTCAGCATCAAGTTTACCATAAATCGAGTGTCAATATATGCATGGTCTGTTTCTGGACTCTGTTCTGTTCTATTTGTACATCTCACTCTTGATATCCAGTCAGTAAGTCCTCCAATTTTGATATTGATAGTTATCCTTCATCTTTTGCACTTCTATATAAATTTTAGGCTCAACTTATCAATTTCCACCTAAGGAAAACTGCAGAGATGGTGGGGGGAGGGATGAGGGAATGCATTGAATCTATGGCTCAGCATATTGAATCTTCCGATCCTTGATCAAGGAGCATACCTCTTCTATTTAGGGCTACTTTAATATATCTCAATAGAGTTTTATGGTTTATTTTGTTTGTTTTGAGGTCTTTGTTCGTGTATTTTCTAGAGTTATTCACATGTTTATGATTATTGAGGCTATACTGAATTATTTATACATACATAATTTTAAAACATTTTTTAATTATTTGGGGAATACAGGGAAATACAGTTGGCCTTCTATCCAGCAACCTTGCTAAATTTACTTATTTCTTTTGATTTTTCTCATATACAGTTATCTGTGAATAATGACATTTTTATTTCATCCTTTTTAGTCTTTATTCCTTTTGTTTCTTTTTATTGCCCTTTTGTACTATCTACCACCTCTAGTACAATGTTGAATAGAAATGAGGAGACTAGATAAGCCTGCCTCATTCCCAATCTCAGGAAGAAAGTTTTCAATATGTCACTATTGTGATGTATGATGTTAGCAAGAGAGTTCTGTAGATAACCTTTATCAAATGGCAGCCAGTTCCCTTCTATTTCTAATGCTGTAAGAATTACATAGTGAGTGGGTGTTGAATTTTATCAAATGCTTATTCTGCATTTATTGAAATGGTTATAAGATTTTTCCTTTGTTAATGTATTGAATTATACTAATTGATTTTTTTTGTTTTGTTTTATTCCTTGGGTAATAATTTGATGCTATTTTATTAATTTTGTTCAAATTGTTTTAGCTTTGACTGTTAGAAGCTGTTCCATTTAATTCCTTGTCCTTTTGACATACTACCATCAGTGTCCGATTGGTTTGTTTGTTTTGTGCATACTTTCTTACTTTCTGGAACTACAAAATGCTTCAGGTTCATTTTGCATATTTCCTGCCCCTGTTCTACAATTGGGTGTTTCTCCAGGGAGCCCTGGTTCCTTTTATTGGAGAATAGCATTACACACCAAGATCTGGGTGCCATCTGTGCTCTTTGCTACTGAGGTGTTGTTGCTTTTAGTCACTTTCAGCTGGCAGAAAAAGGAAATATATGTGTGTATACTAAGCTGTCTATATCCACATATTTATGAATATTTCAGTATGAAACTTTCTGTATCTATATTAAGCTAAAATGGATTCATACTGATGTCTCTGAGTAATCCATTAGGGATGGCTTATTCTAGTCGTCTCCTCTTGCTTATCTGTAAATTCTCACTCCAGCGTTGAGAAGTGTGGCTCCCACTATTCAGCCATCCACTAACTTAACTGTTCAATTCCAGTGTATATGTATAAAAGTATTGGAACTAATTCATATATACATGGAAAACAACTTTATAAACTAGAGGACAGCTAAACCCAGGGAAACAGAGAGGTAGTTGCCTAGCTGAGCAAGTTGTATGTCAGAAAGAGGGAAAGGAAGAATCTAGGATTTGGCAGATCCTTGTATGAACTTTCAAATAATCATTCTTATTTCAACACCCCTTGGCCTTACCCCTTGCGGAACTGTAAGAGGCCCCTCACTTCTGAACCTATCTTACTTTTGTTGGTTCTCTCCTAAATAGACAGATGGGATTGGCCTGTCTGCTCTGCTAGGTTAGTTATCACTCATCCATCTGCTTTCCATCTTTCAAAATTTTGTTGATACTTCTTCATGTGAAATCCCTCTAGTTCTCTTTGCCCTGACGAGTATATATGGTTTTTAATCATTTATTTTTTAACTAAAGCACCTTATTGGCAACTGTGTGAGGTTAGAGTCCTGGGAATGACTAAATCTATGCTAAGTTTCTGTCTTCATTTTTTTACTGATTTTTTTTTTAACGTAGCCTTTATAAGTATCCACAATAGTCATTGATAGAGACTATTTCAGGTTGATGTGTCTTCACAATGGTACTTTGTTGTTCAAAATAAAGTATCTGGGAGAGTATCATATGAGACACATTGCAAGAACATGAACATAAGGCAAACTTCTTTTATAAGGAAAAAATATTTGGGAAAAAAGTGTACCTTATATTCACTAATATATGGTATATACTAGGTAGTACTGGACCAGTAGGCAAGATAAGTTAGGCAAAAAATAGCTGAGATAAGATAAATATGGTAAGTGCCTGTAAGATGTAAACAAAATAGAATAGAGAAGCTTCAAAAACACACAGATTTAACTAGTATTTTATGGATTTTTACTTTTAGATGAAATATTAGATTATTTCAAAAGCTGGAGCTAAATGTAATGTTAAATAATGGCAACAGGCGACTTAAAGAGAAGCTTACGGAACCTAGAACAAGTGCTTCGCTCACTAAATTATCCTCAAGAGGTGGATTGTGTAGGGTAAGCTGGAATATAAAACTTATTTGTAATCTTTTTGGTAATGATTTGATATAGTATTTGACATGGGAGTATCTAAAGAAAGACACTGATTTTATCTGGGCGCTTTTAACATTTTCCTTGAAGTGATTAAAATCTTTTAGAAAACAGAGTTTTCGTAGGAGTTTTTTCCTAAGTATGAATTTTAAGGAGTCCAACTAGAGATTTAAAACACCTTTTAGAAGTAGCAATAAAATAGACATCACTATAAGGTATGGTCATTGTACAACTATTAAACTCGTAGAAATATGAGTTCATTAATTATATGACTTACCATCCTCTCACATCCAGTTGGATAGTATCTCTTTATGATTTAGAAGATTCTACTTAATAGATTTCTTATGACAACTTATACCTTGCCTGAAGATTAAGCAGCTAACTCATATAACAGACCCCACTTTGAACGTTTTGCTTTAGTTTCCACTTTCCAAGTGTGACGTACTTGCTTTTGTAGAATGTAGCAGCATACATTTCTTCTATATTTATGCCAATCTAATATGGTATTCCTGTCATCTTCTATCCCTTAATACTTCTATTTCTTCTTACCTAGGGTATTCATTGATTAAATATTTCCTCCTCTAGGAAATAAGCTGACATCTAGTACTTAGTTTTGTTCACAGTAGCATCCCCCTATCTAGAATGATGCCCGGCACATATTAGAAGCTACTTAGACATTTATTCATTGACTATCAAAGGAGAGGTCCAGATTAGGTACGTGGTCAAGTAGTAGAGTGAGTCTTTGTTAAACCAGCTGTCAAGTAGAATCCTGGAATAATGGGCTTTACATATAAAAATGGATGTTCTGATTATATACTAGGGAGAGTTAACATCAAGAGACCACTATGAATGAAAGGATAGTGAGGAGAGCAAGGTAAAAGTTGAGCTCTAGTGACTGTTATTACAGACATATGAGAAGCAGAAGGTATTCTATAGTATGCTTCCACAGTCAGGTTGGTTCCTCAAAAGAGGGAAATCTCTACTGTCTAGTCTTGCTGGGACTTAACCAGTTTGCATACCCAAGTTTTCTCTTTACCTTAACCATCGACATTGTAAAATATATATATATATACATATATATATATATATATATATATATTTTAATTGATTTCAGAGAGGAAGTGAGAGGGAGAGAGAGAGAGAAACATCAGTGATGAGAGAATCATCCATTAGCTGCCTCCTGCACGCCCCCTACTGGGGATCAAGTGCACAATCTTGGGCAGGTCCCCTGACTGGGAATTGAACCATGACCTCCTGGTTCAGGGTTCAATACTCAACCCCTGCGCCACATTGGCTGGGCTTAACCATCAACATTTAAAAATACATTTTGTATAGGGATAATTCTAAAAGATGCTGATTATTTTCCTTTCTTTTGAGTACACTGTTTAAACATTTGATTTTCTTATTGACCCAAGAGTGGCATTAAAAACACTTTTTAGATTGTTTCATAATATAGTAATATTTGCAGGGTCTGTTAAGACAAGTAATGCTACTTGCTGCTGCTCCTTCAGATTGCCACCCTCACATACGCACACAGCCCCATACACACATATTTTTATTCTTTCTACTTTTTTCCATTTAAAAATTTTTTCGTGCAACTTGCTGTTTTTTGTTTTCATATGCCAGTTCATAATACCTGTTTTTCTCACTGTTTCTAATCAAAGTCCATAGAAATTAGATAACCAGGGTTTTTGAGATTGTTTTATATAAGAGATGTTAAATGCAGACCTGGCTGTCTTCCGTTCATAATGTGCATAAAATAGGACAGTTTTTGTTGTTCAAAAGTATATTTTTTGTTTCCCTTTTTTAAACTGTCTTACAGGTAGACAAGGTTGTCAGAACAGTTTTCTCGCTGGGTAAAATATTATTGTACCCATGAACATGAAAAAGAAACCATTTATATTTGTTCTGAAAAACAAATTGTAATGCTATCATCACATACTTCTTCTCTGCCTTATTAAAAAAAAATTGGGGTGAGAATAGGGAGATTTATATACATCTTGAATTTTGTGGAAAACAAACGTTTTATGTAAGGGCATTATTACTTCAATTGAACAAATATAACTAGATAATTGAAGCAATCTCTCCTGTGCTTTGTTGTGGGAGAATCTGTGAAGCTACTTCACATAGAGAAAATGAGATTCATATGTACAGACAATTAGCAAACTTTACAAGACAGAGCATGAGGCATCAGATACTGAATAGCCGGGGAGTCATCTTGGGAGAGAAATATGGCACAGAACGTTGAGAATGGCCTCATGGAAAGCTTAATATCTGACACATGAGCTATGAGGAATGAATAGCAGGCAGAGAACAGTGGGATGCCTTTCTAGACTGGAGGAATTAGCATATCTAATAAGGTACAGATTTCAAAGGGGCCTGATACAGGCAAAAGATAATGGTCAGCCTAGTTACAATACCTCAGCCCTGTTTTCCTCATCTATAACTTAGAATTCATAAGGTTTCACCTTTGCAGCTTGTGGTAAAAAGCACAGGTAAGGTAAAAAGTGTTTGCAAGAGCATAAAATGTACTTGAGCACTGTAAGATGGTACATTTGTTTATTAGGAGAAAATGTACTAGATTTTCTATTGGTATTAAAGAGCTATTGTGTTTGAGCAAATGAATAATAGAATTTCATAGTACTTGGGCTAGATTGATTTAGTGTAGGGGATAGAATCTAAAGGGTCTTGTGCATCACTTAATTATTATGGCTATAGTGTTATTATAAATTATTGACAATGATTCTTCTATTTCCCTGATTACCCAACTTTGTGGAATTATGCTCATTAAAAATCTTTTTCTTTTTCCCCCAACAGTTTGGTTAAGGGAGAAACAGCAGCCTCTTTGCCCATCATCAGCTATTCCCTTACTTCATATTCACCTTATGTAGCAGAACTTCTGATGGAATCCAATGTAGAGCTCATAGCAAAGAATGACTTGCGCTTTATAGATACTGTGTATAAGGTATGTTTGAGTTTATGAAATAATTGTTTTAGAAGTCATTGATGGTTTTTTAAAATTAATGTTTTTTTAATAATGTCTTAAATATATGCAGCATGTATAGCTGCCAGTATTTTCATATGCATTACCTCATTTAAATGCAGTCCCTATTGCAATCAAGATGTAATTGAAGTTTGCGTTGTTTTGTACTCTATTAAATATGACAACTGGTAAACATTTGTCATTGGTTATCATTTGTCCTCTTTTATGGCAGAAGTTAGAGAGAAGTGTGGTTTTATTGAGTAAAGTTTGTACTTCATAGAATTTTGAGTTAATTTAGTTGTTTGTAAGATGGAACTACAGCTTTGACTGAGGTTTTATGTTCCTTTGTGGCCTGGGACCATGTCTTATATCTGCCCTAGTATTTAAAATACACTTGTATTATGTACACTGCACTTAATCTCATATTGGATTTTTTAAAAACCCTACTTATCATTAATTTTTGCTCAAGTACTCTAGTTTTCTTAAACTTTTAAAAGAATGGTAAAACCCATTTATCAAATCAAGTATTTTTCTTTTCTTTTTTAAGTAGTAAGTTGCATTTGATGAAATATGTAGAGTTTCTGTGTATAGATTCTCTGTTTAATCTTTCCTTTCTTTATCTTTCACCTGGAAGACTTCTGTGGAAGCCTAAGAGGCACTTCTGAGAAATGCTAGGGTTCAAGAGTAGATTTTGAAAATTACTGGTCTAGTCTATTACTCTCATTTTACAAATGAGAAATTGAAACTCAGAGACTTACTGACTTGTCTAAAAAATTATGTAGGGGAAAAATTATAAGCATATAGAACTATGTTTTTCTGACATCTGGTGTGGTATTTTTTATTCTATAGTGAGCTGAGGTGTATTTCTAGTACCTGTTAGGATATTTGAACTTTCTGATCATTGGCTATATTTTTCCATCTCTTTGGACAGCCATCTATTTTTGGTATATTCTTAGCTACCTATTTTCTACCTAGATACCTCTCCTACCTGGTCATGACTCGAACCACCCCTCTAAATCTCTTTAGTACCTTTTAGTGAAAGGTACTAAATTTGTTATTTTGGATTTTTGAAAGAGAGTGTTCCCACCCTCACCAGTTTTGCTCAGTGGTTAGAGCATTGGCCTGTGGACTGAAGGGCCCCAGGTTCAATTCTAGCCAAGGGCACGTACCTCGGTTGCAGGCTCAATCCCTTGCCCTGGCCACATGCAGGAAGCAGCCAATTGATGTGTCTCTCTCACATCAATGTTTCTCTCTCTCTCTCCCTCTCTTTCTCTTCCACTTTCTCTGGAAGAGCAATGGAAAAAATATCCTCGGGTAAGGATGAAAG